AAAAAAAAAATAATAATAATGATGCAGATTTTAGCAATCCAAAATAAACAAGAACTTAAGTAAGGATGGAAAAGAAAAATGACAGCCTTGGAATTCTCCTCCAATCCTGATGCCATGCTTTTCTTCATATAGTCCAGTTTATCAGATTATTTGCTCAGCATACAGATTGAATAAGAGTGATGAAAGGATACAACCCTGACACATTCCCTTCCTGATTTTTAAGCATGCAGTATCCCTCTGTTCTGTTCAAATGACAGGCTGCTGGTCTATGTACAGATTTCTCATGAGTACAATTAAATGTTCTGGAATTCCCATCCTTCTTAACGTTATCCATAAATTGTTACGATCCACACAATTGAATGCTTTAGCATAGTCAATGAAACACAAATAAACATCTTTCTGGTATTCTTCGCTTTCAGCCAAGATCCACCTGACAACAGCAATGATATTCCTTGTTCCACGTCCTCTTCTGAATCTACCTTGCATTTCTGGAAGTTCTCTGTCAATATACTGCTGCAATCATTTTTGAATTCTCTTCCACAAGATTTTACTTGCATGTGATATTAATGATATTGTTCAATAATTTCCATATTCTATGGGATCACCTTTCTTTGGGATGCGTACAAATATGGATGTCTTCCAGTCAATTGGCCTGGTAGCTGTCTATCAAATTTCTTGGCATAGATGAGTGAGTGCCTGCACTTCGGCCTCCCTTTGTTGAAACATCTCAGTGGGCAGTCCGTTAATTCCTGGAGACTTGTTCTTCATCAATTCCTTCAGTGCAGCTTCAACTTCATCCTTCAATACCATTGGTTCTTGAACATATGCCACCTCCTGAGATGGATAAAGATTGACCAGTTCTTTTTGGTACAGTGACTCTGTGTATTCCTTCCATCTTCTTTTGATGCTTCTTACATCATTCAATATTTTGCCCATAGAATCTTTCAATATTACAACTTGAGGCTTGAATTTTTTTCTTCATTTCTTTCAGTTGGAGAAATGCTGGGTGTGTTTTGGTTTTCTAACTCAAGATCTTTGCACATTTCATTATAATAATTGACTTTGTCTTCTCAGGCTACTCTTTGAATTCTTCTGTTCAGCTCTTTTATCTTGCCATTTGCTTTAGCTACTCTCTGTTCAAGGGCAAGTTTCAGAGTCTTTTTTGACATCCTGTGTTTTGGGCAGGAGAAAGATGGAGAACTTTTGCACTTGCACCAGGCTGCCTCTGGTATCTGTATAGAATTTTGTGGCTTACAAAGCAGTTTAATACTCATGTTTGACCCTAAAAATCACCAGTTTTACCAATGAGAAAGCTGAAGCACAGGACTAAAAGACTTGCTTCATAAGCATCTGTGCCAGAGTCAGTCTAAGACTCCATAGTCCATATTATTACCATTCTACTATTCTGTTGTGCAAGAATAATTCTTCTGTAATAGCAATAATGGCCAAACAAACAGCTTGTGGAGTTTGGACATGAGACATGAAAGTCAGGGGAGATTGTAGAGCACTTAGTCTGTGGTTCCTTTTATGAAGTTGCTTGTATGTTCCCTTTTGTGGAGTTGTTGCTGTTGGTTGTTGTTGTTGTTGTCATGTGCTGTTGAGTCAGCCCTGACTCATAGCGACCCCTCCTTGGGTTTCCGAGGCAGTATCACTACGGAAGTAGATTGCCCAACCTTCCTTCCGAGGAGTGGCTGGTGGGTTTGAACCGCCAGCCTTCTGGTTAGCAGTCAAGTGCTACGCTACCAGAGCTCCCTGTTGGTAGGTGCCATCAAGTCAATTCTGAGTCATAACAATCCTATGTACAACAGAGCACTATGCAGTCCTGTACCATCCTCATAATCGCTGCTGAGTTTGAGTCCATTGTTGCAGCCACTGTGTCAATCCATGTAGTTGGGGGTCTTCCTCTTTTTTGCTCACCCTTTACTTTACCAAGCATATTCTTCTCCAGGGTCTGGTCCTTCCTTGATAACATGCCCAAATTAGATGAGACAAAATTTTGTCACCCTCACTTCTAAGAGATTTGCTTGTTCTGGTAGTCCATGGTATATTTAATATTGTTTGCCAACACCATCATGCAAAGACATCAATTCTTGAGTCTTTTTTCTTCATTGTCCAGCATGGATACATATAAGGTGATTGAAAATACCATGGCTTGAGTCAGGAGCACCTTAAACCAAAATCCACTGCCATTGAGTCGATTTCAACTCATAGCGACCCCCATTGGGTTTCTGAGGTGGTAAATCTTTACAGAAATAGATTGCCCAGTCTTGCTTCCAGAGAGTGGCTGGTGGGTTTTAACCACTAACCTTCTGGTTAGCAGTCAGATGCCTTAAGCACTGTGCTACCAGAGCTCCTTAGGAGCACCTTAGCCCTCAAAATAACATCTTTGTTTTTAAACAGAGATTTTAAAATTTAAAAAGATTTTAAAATCTTCCGAAGCAGATTTACGCACTGCGTTATTTGATTTCTTGACTGCTGCTTCCATGGGTGTTGATTTTGGATTTAAGTAAAATGAAATCCTTGATAACTTTAATATTTTCTCTGTTTATCATGATGTTGCTTATTGATACAGTTGTAAGGATTTCTGTTTTCTTTTTGTTGAGTACAGTGGTCCATCATGTCTTTGTTATCTTGGTTTGAGGAAATAAAAAGAGTGTATATGTTTTTCCTGTGTGTAGTTCCTGCCTGTTGGCCAGAGGACAAGCTTTCAGGTATTGTTTTGAGTTGTCAATTAGAAAGATGGGCTAATTCTACAGTTAGTGTCAAATGAGCCAATACCATCTTTGTGTTTTTGTGCTAAATCCCTATAAGCTTTCAGGAAAGACTTTTGGACAGATTTCAGTAGTTGTGTTTTCTTTGCTTTTTTAAAGTAATGATTTAATTTTTAGAAACTAAACTCTTGAAACTTCTTCATTAGTAACTTGGTTTTTCAGAAGCAGTAATTTTTTTCCTCTCTTAGTAGGGGAGGAAGTTTGTGATACCCTCCAGGCAGGAGGTACAGAAGGCAAGTATTTAAATTCTTTACAGGGGGGTTTCTTTCCTTTTTCTGCTCTCCACTTCCTCCACACCTTAGGCAGGGGCCGCTTTTTGTCCAGTATTTTGTATCCACACGGTTTCAACTCCGTATGCTGGCTCTCCCAGTTTTTCCAGCTTGGAGCAACACCTGTAAAAGATATTGGTCTGATTCAATGGTGATCTGGAAACCTGGGCAGCCGGATTTTCTTATTGAATACAGTTCTCTACATCCTTTTCATGCTCATTCTTAACAACAGACCAGATAGATAGAGATGTGAACTGTAGTGGAATAAATACATCTATAGGGTTTTGCCCTTCAGTTCTCTAATAAGGGCTAGCACAGGTAGCAGTGGGTGTATACTCTGAATACCCAGGAGGCGTGTGTGTGCTTGCCAAAGGATTACTGGGGCCTGGCGTTTTTCTGCAGCGTCCTTTCAGCGTCTAGTGCGCTGTGGGTGTTGGGAGAATGACGGGGGAAGCGGTCGTTGGACTCTTCCCCCAGGGAGGGAGCCACAGACACGCAGCCAAAGGATTTCTGTGCCAGGGAGATGGCGGCTGACTGGAGTAGGCGGCTAGTGGAGAGGGTTTTATACTGTCCTGATAAGCGGGATTGAGCCACAAAGATCCTTGGTGGAGGGAGGGGAAGGAGGGGTGGGAGGCGACAAGCGACGTAAACAGTAGCTCAGCAGAGCTCTAAGTATTTTCCTCTCCTTTTACACCCACACATACAAGACCTTCTCAAAAATTCCGGATACGTCACTACTTCATTTGAGGGTGAAGCAAATGCTCTCACATTTTGCGGATGAAAACTCCTTCTCAGAGGACCTTTGCTGAGAGTGCTGGAGGGAGGCGGGGCGCGGGGAAAAGGGGCGGCCTAGGAGGCTGAGACTGTCTGCATCCTGTGCCCTCCAAGGAGCTCTCGTTGGGTGGCTGAAGAGGTGGGGCGTGGGCAGCGTACTGAAATAGGGCGGCCGGTGTCCGAGCGCAGTCCCGCCTGCGGCCGATGGGCGGTGGTGCTGTATGCCCGCAGGGTTCCCTGGCGGGTAGGGCCTCCGTGAGTCACCGCTGAGTTGTCGCAGTCATCGGTCAGAGTGACTTAGGCTTACGGGGTGGGGCGCGTTCCTATCTTCCCGCTCGCGCTCCTGCCGCGCTGCGGTGTCCCTTTGCTTACCCCCCGCTCCTGCTGTGTGGGCCGCCCTGCCCCAGTCTGCGGCGCGTGCTGCGGTAGCCTCATCTACTGCCTGGACCTCTCTAGTGGAGAAAGAGTTAACCGGCGGGGGCGAGGAGAAGCTCGGGGAGGAAGGAAATTGCCATAGTTTTGAAAGTTTTTCCTTCTCCTCTTTTCCCTGCAGTGCTGGGGGACCCGCGGCGGCCGGCGCTGACTCCTTGGAGCCTGGTTCTGAGCCTTCGCTCCTGTTCCGGAGCTCCTGCAGGACTGCCTAAGGGCAGGGACAGCTATCTGCTCAGATCTACTCCCTGGACCTCCTCCGAGTAGGTGTGCTCAGTCATGGAGGTCGCAGACCTGGCCGGGAAGATCTTTTCCACCTGGTTGACGCTTGTGCTCGTCCTCATTCTCTTGCCTTCGGCTTTCGGGGTGTCTTTGGGCATCTCCGAGCTCTACATGAAAATCCTGGTGAAAACTTTAGAGGTGAGGACGGGAGGGTTGCGGCAGCCCGCAGCTATAAAGGATTTAATGAGAACCTTGGGGCGGTGGGGGCCAAGGTTAGATTTGTGACAGCTAAGTCAAGGGCAAGGGTGCAGTTCGAAAGGCCAGGGGTCCGGAGGGGTGTGTAGTTGAGTTTTACCTCCGCAGCAGGGCAAAGGCAGCGTCTTGCTTCTGGGCTTCTCGCACAGAGCTGGAGAGATTTGAACTGAGACCACTAGTCCACTGGTGGGAGGGAGAATGAATAACGGACCCTCCTCCCCATTTCATTATTATTCTAATTATTTTTTGAAGGAAGATTGGGCAATCTACTTCCGTAGTGATACAGAAACCCAAGGAGGGCTCTCTATGAGTCGGTCTGACTCTAGGGCACATAACAACAAATTAAAAAACCTAAACGACAGTCTTTTATGTCAGTGGATTTGTTTATACCCATTATGTGGTGCAACTGTCACTTTACCCTCCTTAGTGTTTACAGCCCCAGGTGTCAGAGGTCCTTTAGTGTACTAGGGCATCCTGTCCAGAAAGGCATCATATGTATTTTAGTTTATGCTCATGATAAGAAACTAATTGCTGGATGGCAGAAAGAAATATGATTTTATTTCAGTGGAGTCATGAAAATTTTATCTAACCAAGGGCACTTGAAAATGTGTCTTCTTTGGCATTGTATCTCTCTAGAAAAAGTTGTTAGATGGAAGCAGGCTTTGTAGAGAATAGCTGTAGTTACTCATATATAAGGTTTTGTTAAATTACAAAGGACTTTCTTGTTTAACTCTTTCACCAGACCTTCCCAATAGCCTAGTGAGGTAGGGAGAGAAAGTGTTACCTCTCTTGTACAGGAAAGGAAACGGGCTTAGAGAGGGTCAGTGGATTTCTTCAATTAAGTGTTGGAGACAGAGTCTGAACCTAGGAGAGACTGTTAACTTAATGCTTAGGGTTACAGATGCTGGGTTCAGATTTGCTTAGATTTAAATCCCAGTTCTGCTTCTCTAATGACACAGTGGTTAAGAAGTCAGCTGCTAACGAAAAGGACAGTGGTTCGAACCCAGCTGCTCTGAGGGAGAAAGATAAAAAGATTTACAGCCTTGAAAACCCTATGAGGCAACTCTACTCTGTTCCATAGGGTCACTCTGAGTTGGAATCAACTCTACAGCAATGGGTATTTTGTTTTCTGTTTCTCAATATGTAATCTTGAAAGGTCATTTACTTTGTACCTCACTTTCCTCGTCTATAAAATAGAAGTAACAATAATTCCTACTTCCCACAAGATTGTTAGGTGGTTTAAATAAGTAAAAATGTCAAGCATCTTAGGAAAATGTCTGCATAGGTTGGGTGGTATGTAAGTGTTTGGTGCCATTAAAGAGTAACTAATATTTAGATTCTAGCAACCTTATTTCTCTAACTTCTACAGTGTAATTGCTGTTGAATAGATTCCAATTTGTGGAGACCCTGTGTATGTCATAGTAGAACTGTTCTCCACAGAATTTTCAAAGGCTGATTTCTTGGAAATAGACTACCAGGCCTTTGTTTTTAGGTACCTCTGGGTGGACAGCTAAGTGTACTAACTGTTTGCACCACCCAGGGAATCCCTAACTTCTATAAAAACCAAAAACCATCTAAATATGGAGCCCATTATTCTGCCCTTATTTTCTGTCTGCTGCCAGGATGTGGCTCTATGGTTCTTTTGCCTCTGCTTGTGAGGTGGCCCCCAAGTATACATTTCTAATGCATGGGACACTGGATTCTACCTGGTAGTCTCTGGTTATACCCCAGATCTTTACTGGGCTTTCTCTTTGTGTCTATCTTTCTGCCCATTTTTTTGAAATTATATTTGATTCTTCACCTTTATCTCTATTGTTTCAACCTGGGATATTTATCTCAGTTTTGAACTTCTTATATTGACTTCACACTCTGAGCTGGTCATACTATGCTATGAACTTCTTACTAACCATTCTTTAGAATACTCTCCCCATAGAAGATGCTTCTCTCTAGCTGGTGTTCACTTTTTCCTGGAAATCTGAAATGATCGAACTGTTCTCCCATACAGCAATGTAGAGGTTCTTGTGGAATTTAGACCCCAAAGTGAATATAGAGTGCTGGTGAATGGCACACACTCTAGTCTAGGTGCTGACTCTGTTCTGTGTCTTGCAGGCTATAGTCATTGAAGGCATGTCAGGAGAGAGCTCGAGAGATGTCAAGGAGAGAGATCAGCTAGTTGTTCTCAGCCTGGCGAATAACTCTGCTGTACTTTAATGGAAGGTTGATTCCAGTCCAGTCAGTTTGGCAGGACCCCAAGTTTTAATTTTTGCCCATCTAGAGTTACAGCATGAGGCAGTGGTGGTTCAGTGGTAGAATTCTTGCCTTCCATGTGGGACTCCGGCCAGTGTATGTCATGCTCAGCCATCACCCATCTGTCGGTGAGGCTTGTGTGTTGCTATGAGGCTAAAAAGGTTTCATCAGAGCTTCCAGACCAAGCTGTAAGGAAGTAAGGCCTGGTGATGTACTTTCCAAAATCAGCCAATTAAAACCCTATGGCTCCATTCACAACCAATCATGGGGAGGGCACAGGACTGGGCAGCATTTCCTTCTTGTGCATGGGGTCACTGTGAGTCGGGGGCTGAGTCGGTGGCAGCTAACAATACAACAACAGAACTGAAGAGATGTCAGAGGCATAATCCTGGTTAATAAAACTCTCAAGAATGCCAGTTTTCTAATTATAATGGAATATATATCACTTGGCTTGGAGACCAGGTAGGTGGCAGTGTAGGAAACCTCCCTCTTTGCTAAGACTAAATTATGAGGCCAGAGAGATGCATGGTGTATATGGAATAGCCTGGGAATTCTTTGGTGAGCCAACTCTGATTTGCTGGTTGTGGCTCACTGGAGCTCCTGTGTTTGGGAGCAGCTGGATTCAGCAGGAAAGAGAGCTGAAATCCCATTATGACTTCGGCTTTAGGCACAAGAGAGGGAAGTGGCAACCTAAAGTCTTCCATCCTTCAACTAGAACAGTGTTAGATATTCCAAAGACATTTCTGTTAGGCTGGAGTTAGTACAGTGGATTGCTTTTTCCTCTGTTGGGATTATTGTTGTTAGTTGCTGGGTCAGTTCTGACTTCATAGGGTTTTTAAGGCTGTGACCTTTCGAAGTAGATCCCCAGGCCTTACTTCTGAGGTGCTTCAGGGAAGGTTTGAACTGCCAAACTTTTGGTTAGTAGTCCAGGGTATGGGAGCTCTGGTGGCATAGTGCCTAAGGCATTTGACTGCCAGCCACTCCTGGAAGGAAGGCTGGGCAATGTACTTCCGTATGGACTCCTACTGTAGGGATAATTCCCTTAAGGAATTGTGCTGGTTCTTTAGTATCAGAACATCTTCAGTTCTGGAAAATACCCTGCCTTTTTTGTACATTTCATGCAAAACTCATCTACTCTGTTCTTCATCATTCCTTAGTAAGGTCTCAGCTGATTTGATTGTTTCTTTCTTCACATTCTAATCCCAAGAATATTCTTCAATCAAATATTCTTTGATGGGAATTGGATATTTTTCAAATTTCCTTGCATATAATTTCTATACCATTTTAAAGGTCATTTAGTTTTGTCCACTATGTGTCTACTTTTATGAGCTTTAGTGCCAATGGGTGACTTTTTCAACACTATAAACTTCCAATTCTGAAAGTTGAAATGTATGTGGGGTACCTACTGAATAGCTGACTTTGGCAATTGTTAATTATTAAGTAAGTCTCCAAGCTCTATGCACTTCTCTGATTCCTTTTTAGCTCATTAGTTCAGGTAATAATCATTTATTGAGCACCTACTCCATACCTTCTCTTATATTACCAGAGATCTCTAGATTTGTGCATAAATTACAGCTATAGCAAGCTAATTGAGGACAAGGCTTGAATTCTTAGAATAAGTTTGGTGATTCTAAAAGCCAGTGATTTTCTAGCGGGATACATAATAATTTCTTAGGATTATCTTACAACTTTATATTGAGGAAAACTATATCTTTATGAATACGAACTACAGAAGGTAAAAGTTTTGAGGGGATGGGTAATGGCAGTCCACCTAGATAAAAATAAGAATCTCTGGGAGGGTGTGTACGTATGTGAAGTTTTCATTCTTATCAAACGGCATGGAATAAAGCTTGGAAAATGCTATTATTAACTATGATAGTTAATTAAAGGCTTAATGATGGGGCTGAAGGTGAGGAGGGATTGAGGTTGATTGGCCAAATGTTTATGATCAAAGGGAAAAAATGAATAGGAAGAGAACATGAGACTGATGGAGAGGAAGAAGGTGAAGAAATGTTATGTAAGATGGAAATGATGTCATTTAATTAGATAATACAGGCCTTGGACAGATAGTGTTAATGGACTTATTTTCCCCTTCTTTTGAATTGTAAACTGGAATCTGTACCAGCCTTATAATTAGGTAGACTATTTATTTCAACCTTAGTTTCTACCTGTGTATAAAGGAATATATCTATGATGTGTTAACTTAGGTAGGCTATGATTTTCAATGGTTGGTTGTTTGGCCTTGCTTTTACTAAACAAAATAGTGAAAGAAAGAGATCACTGTTCAAGTGCTGCATAAAAAACCTGAAAGTTGCCATTTCTGCCCTGAAAATAAACCTTATTTCTTAAAGTAACAAAGCTGATGTTCCTGAAACTTGGGATGGGACAAATGGACACATAATCAGGAAGCTGGGGACATTGAGCCCTTAAATTCAATTGAATCATTTCTGCCAACAGAACCAGACCTCTTACCCCCACTGACGGGATGAACCCAGCTGTGCCTGAGGAGTCATTGTCTGAGTTATCTCCAAGGGCAGCACCTGAGATGTTGCCTGGGTCACTGCCTAAGGTAGATACCTTACAAGACATTGATGAAGGTTTGCAGGACCCACCCCCACCACCCATTTTTACTTCTAGCCTCATGTTGTTCTTGTTGTTGTTATGTGCTATCGAGTCAGACCTGATTCATAGTGACC